AAAAAAAAAAAAAAAAAAAAGCGTGATGAGGCTAGCAGGTGGCACGAGCAGCAAGAAACAGAATGGTCATATTCTCAAACGGACATACCTAGTTTGGGGGCTGCTTGGGGCAGTTCTGACGAATCGATATGACAAATGACTATATTGACCACAGTGGTCATGGCAGTCGCAAAACCCTTGAAAATGATCAGAAAAAAGGACTGCTGACGGCCCCAAGACAACAAGAAGTAAGTGAAAGATCCTACCCTCGCAGAAGACAAACTCCGCTGCTTGAAAGCTTAAACCCTAAATCCTAAACCCCTCCCCCTGAACAACAGATAAGGTGCATGTTGGCACCCATAGGTCCAGCCTTGGTGACGGTCCAGGCATCCCCTCCACCCCCTTTGCCGCCCTTGGCATCCCAGGAGGCCTTTGCAAAGCTTGCAACAGGGTCGTAGGAACTTTTGCCCTGGCTCTTGCCCTTGCCCCAACCACCACTGTTGTCCCAGCTGTTGCTTTCCCAGCCACCCTTCTGCCAGCCGCCACTCTTACCGCCGCCATCTTTTCCCCAGCCTCCACCCTTGTCCCAGCCGCCGCCCTTTCCGTAGCCGCCACCGCCACCCTTGTCCCAACCACCGCCCTTATCCCAGCCCCCCTTGCCCCACTGGCTGTCGTACCCGCCCCCGCCCATCATCATCTGCATGAAGTCCATCATCATGCCTTTGCCACCCTTGCTCTTTCCCTTAGACTTGGGGGTGGCGTAGTTGATGGTAACCGGATTGCTCAGGTTCTGCGGGACCTGACCATTCACATTCTTCACAACCCAGGTAGCATCCTCCTGGCTCCCCATGGTCACAAATGCCGCCGCAGCGGTCTTTCCGGGGCTGACTGGTAGAACCTTGACCTCCTTCACCTGGGTCGGACTTGGGATATAACTGAGACGGGCTTAAAAATGATGCTTTTGCTTATGCTGGAACACTCAAAAATGGGAGGGGGGGTGTACAGAAACAGTGTTTGGCAAACGCAGAAGTTGTTCAAACGTGACCCAGTCACGGTTCCATACTGATGAAAGATGGCCTGGACCTGCTCAATCGTGGAGTCGATGGGCAACCCCGACCTGCAGCGTGAAAATTTCAAAAGTGGGAGAGGGACCACTGCTGGTACCATTCCTATGATATTGTACTATATACCATGAAACGCAAGATAGATATACACTATGATACACTACATTCTAACACAGTCTAATACAAAAAGGATTTAGCTGGCCTTTGCTATAGCTATGAAACTGGCCAGCACCTTTTCTGATTCTGCACCAAGGCGCACGAACAATGTCTCTGACGGCTGTGGGTCTGACATCGCGTCTGACCCCAGGTGGCCAACAGGTGCTACACATGACTCTTGAGCAGCGGCGCAAGGAGTCTTGTTTTTGACGTGATATGCAAATCGAATAGATTACATTAAGCTTTCTGTGCACATTGTAGTAGGCATATCTACGAAACACGAGAGTACGTGTGAGCATCTAGCTGACCTTGGACTGGACAGATTGCCGTTGGGTTCTATGTTACCCGGAACAGTGACAGGCTCACCACTCAACAGCTGGACTGCACCACCAGCTGGCCTTTCTTCTGAGTAGCCACCATGCCAGCAGTTGTCCTCAAAGGCATTGCAACTCATGCCCAAGAAGTACTACGGAGAAGGGCTCCCTTATCCAACTCACAAGGTTTTTCTGCAGAAATGCGGTCTTGGGCTTTGGCATTGAGGAACTAAAAGCTTCGAGACTTTGAGATTGGAGTTTCTAGATCAGGTTTATGCCCCTCCTGACCGATTTGCTGATGACTCCAGAGCCCTACCGTGAGGTTTCCTACTGGTTTAGGGTTTAGGGCTTGGGGCGTTCGCAATAGAATAGGGAATGAGGGAATCAGAGCACTAGAGCAAAAAAATCGGTTATAGCATCTCGTATGACTTCTAATACTCCTATTCCTCCTCTCTTGCCATAACCGGCCAGTCAGCATCAGAAAATGTGATCGGGGGGGCTCTTCAGGCCGTCTTCCGATGAAGATTTCGTCCTGCAAGTGAGGCTTCACTGTTCTTATATCCTGAATTTGTCCAGCCCTGTACGCTGCAACTGTGCCCCCCTTATGCCATGCAGAGTCAACCAAAAGCAGGGTCTCTCTCGACACCGTGGTAACCCTAAACCCTTAACCCGTACTTGAAGGAACCATACAACCTTACACCCCAAACCCTTCGAGAAGTCCAAACAAGGAATTATTTTCAAGGCCTCGCTGAGACACGGCTATGAGCCAGACATGTTTTTGTTTCTCAAAATTCGCGGTACCCTTGGAGACCGTAAGGGTTTTCGAGGATTTACCAAGGATTACTATGGAATTGTTGGGATCCTTACTACGGTTGGAGAAGCTCCCATCTGACAGCATGGGTCAGGAGAGATCCTAGCACAGGCAATGAGCACCATACCTGATGTCATCAAAATCCAGAAAATAATCACCTTTCCCGAGGCTTAATGGCTCAGGGATACCATTCTCAACTAATAAATCGTACGGTATCGGGAGCATCTAGTACTAGGGGCTTCGACCTGACAACTGGCTATTGCTCAAGTTTAAGTTTAGTTTAGGTCCACCATTATCCCCAAAAAACTAGGGCCCTAAACCCTAAACCCTAAACTAGTTGGGCTGAAGTCCTGGTTTTCGCCGACACTGCAACAGGCCGCAAAGGTGAACATCTTCCTGGCTGCAGCAGAAGGTGGGGGGTTTCCCAAAATTAGGGGTACCCTTTTGGGGTCCCTACAAAAAGGATTATAGTATTTGGGGGTCTACATTGGGGTACCCCCTATTTTGGGAAACTACCATGTGAAAATCTGAGTTCAAGGGTGTTCAACCCCAAATCCCTGACTCAGCCTCAAACCAGCAAGGAACCCCATACAACCTCCCTTGAAAAAGCTCCAAGCCCGCAACCCTAAACCCTAGAACCCAAAACCCTAAGACCCTAAAACCCTAAACCCGAAACCCTAAAACCCTAAACCCAAAAACCTGAAACCCGAAAACCCAAAATGGGGGGTGGGTAGCAACTTCTGTCGGCGCGGCTCATCCCAACAGCTTCCAGGGTCCAGGCTTTGGAAGCCCAATGCGCGAAGCAAGGCCTGACCGATTAGGGTGTAGGGCTGTTTGGGGTTCAGGATTTAGGGTTTAGGGTTGTTGGGATGTTTGATGTTTTTGGGTTCCGGATGTAGGGTAGGGTTTAAGTATGGGGTTAAGAGATTCAGCTGAAATTTAAGTAGCTAGATTAGATTGAACAGAAACTTCATATGCCGATCCGTGCTATAATCAACTACCAGCACCCGTACTATACTAATCCAGGGAAATCCACTTGCCGGGACGTGTGCTATGAAGGAGGGATGGCATGCAGAGCTTGGATGGGAAGATTCGTTTTCGTTCAGGAGTAGGAGGTTATACGGCGCGTCTCCCGGTTCTGGCTGCCTTTGTAGGCCCCTATGCTGGAAGCAGATTAGATTACTCCGGAGCGTACAAGTGATCCAAACTGTCAGAGAGGCCCAAATAGAGATGATCAGCTTGCGCTTCGACTGTATTCAAGACAAACGGGACGGGGTCAAGCCTAAACTCCAAATCGTGTGAGATTCACTGGTGCAGGGTTTCACGTTCAGCACACAAGCTTGAGGCAAAGGACATCCTATTGCCTGCCAACCCATATACCCGGAAAAAATACCAGGACTCTGACCACAGGGATTAAGTTCCGCCGCCGCACTTTCCACACGGCAGGCAGCCGTGGGCATATTGAGCCTTAATTAGATTAGGGACTGTTACTGTATGGGGCCAAAGCTCCCACTGCCTGAACCTCGTCATTTGAAAGCCAATATAATACCTGTTCAAAGGACCCTCGTCATTACAGGCCTATGGGAATGGCGTTCCATGCTAGTTGCAACTAGCCCAAACTGAGCCCCCATTACTCCAGTTCAAGACGTTGTTGGACCTTGGCGCGGTGCGTGGCTTAAGCCTTATTGCCTTGAAAGTAACACGATCTTCTTATCCGCAACCCACGCTGTGCTGGATAACAGCAACCTTCAACCCCAACCTAAAACCTAATGCAAACTGCACTGACGCCAGAAGTAGCTGCTTGTTCATCTTTACAGAAAAGCAAGAAGCAAAACATTGAACAGGGTTTAGGGTTAGGGTCTAGGGATCCATCACAGCTCATGATTCCCAGGTGAATGAGTTTAAGGTGCAGGGGCCCTACGCAAAACCTACACAATCCAACTACCGTCTAGGCTCAATCCTCACCTACTACACCTTCAGACCAACAGACAAGACTCTGGAACCCAACCGTAGAGAAACACAAATCCTACATCGCAAACCCTACACCCTAACCCTAAATCCTAAACCCTAAACCCTAACCCTAAACTCTGAATACAACACCGGCCTCGTGCACAGCAGCCAAGCGCTGGAGCCAGGCCTACAGAAGATCAAATGTCCAGAGCAGCGTTTAAGGTTTGGGGTTTCAGAATTAGGGATTAAAGCTTGAAGCTTAGGGTTTAAGGTTTAGGGTCGCGGGTTCAAAGATTTGGTGGGCTCCTCAAAGGGGTTATAAGGCGATGTAGGGTCATAAGAGTCACATAGGGTTATTCAAAGTCACGCGGGGACATATAGGGAAAAGAGTACACGGGGCTTAGGGTCCAACAATTACTGATGCCTTTTTTCGGGTACCTGAACAAGGATTGTATTTTCCGTAAACCCTGAAGCCCTAAACCCTAAACCCTTTTTGGGGGGTTGGTATGCAAGGGGATCTGCTCCTGGAAGCTCCTTTTGGGGTTTGTGCCACGGGCAGATTCTGGTGTCAGGTCACAGTGGAAGTTCGCTTGACCAGGGAGGTTTTAGGGTTTAGGGTCTAGGGCTTAGGGAGGAAGATGAAAGGACGTTTTGTGGATATGATGAGCCACAGTCTAAATTCCTAGCATCCCCCCTTTAAACCCTTATAATACTCCCGTATATACTCCCCGATATAACCCCCGTAAAAGAGTTCAGACTAAAGCTCATATGACCTTCTGAGAGACTAGGGCGACAGAAGGCTTCCTATAAGGGGCCCCTTCAAAGGCTATCCCCCGGTCTACTTGTAGGGTCAGGGGGCTTAGTAAGTAGGTTCCTAATCGGGTAACTAGGGTTACTAGATGGATTACACGTGCTACTAACCTACTTACTAGGTCCCCCGGACCCTCCAACTATCCCTCAGTGAGATGAAGAACTTCGGTCGGCTTGTGACTTCAGCATGTCGTGTCCTTGGAGGCAGCTTCCGAACTTGAGTTCAACCTGTTAAAAACGCTTCCACACGATTGTATAATGTCAGATCCTAAATCATTACCAATATTGTGGTCCCAGATTCATTGTAAACCACGGTATGCGGCGCCTCAAATAACCCTTAAATTGACCTTAGCAATTATTTAAGCCCTTCTAGTAGGCTATCACATGCAAAAAATGCCAGTGACGCTTGCCCGTGCACATCTTAGCACGATATAATCATGATACGACTATCCCTGAACTTTCAACTGAGCCCTCGAACGCTGAAAGCCACTGTGAGATTAATGGAGACCTGACAAATCGGTGGGACAGGTCTAGGCTCAGGGTCATGCTTCAGCTTCAGAGACATTAACTACCAGATGATCTCGCATGCTGCAAGCACAGCTCATTTACACTTGCACATAGAAGCAAGACCGGACACTTCTCCCTCAAGAGTACCCTTATGTTGAGAAACTCGCACATGAGAGCTTGCCCAAGTCCCACTTCCCAAATGTAGGAACTGTACAAGGGCCCACAACATTACGGAACCCAAGAGTAATGACTCATGCCAGAAGAACCCCTACATAACCCTAGTTCCGATCAGATTTGGCATTTCATCTTCCATGTAATTCTCTATTGTGGCAATGGATTAGACACAGCCTGAGCTGCCTATGCCTTACATCCGCCATTCCCAGTAAAGCCTCACGCTTCTCGCGCGACAAGCCGCCCTCCAGCGCCAGCCTCAGCAAGCACTGCTTGTGAGCGTGTTGGTTAGCTAGTTATAGATGTATGAAGGTGTAAGGAGACAGTATTGATAATCATTCAAGACAGATTTGAAAGCCTGTCTAAACCAAACCTGTAAGCAAGTAAACTCAGCAAGCTTGAAATAGAAAGAGCGTTTATTTCCCTACTGGGATTTAGGGTTAAGGGCCCTATGCACAGCAAGATAAACTTGCTCAACAAGCCCACGCACTTCACGCCGCAGGTCCTCTGCCATCAATGTGAAGACTTTCTGTCTTTCACAAATCCCCTCATACCCAAAACTGGTCACCTCAA